GTGTCTCTAACATGGTGTTTTGTAATGTCCAAGAGCCTGTCACAATAGCAAGTTCGGGCCAAGCCAGGGCTACAGAATTAAACCCTGTTAAAAATAAATCTCCATACCCAGAAATACAGAATACAAAATGAAATACAAAATGCTTCCCCTGGGTTTGGAAAGGTGGCTCAGAGCTTAAGAATCCTTGCTGCTCTTGTAGAAGACCTGAGTCGGACTCCAAGCAGTTTCAGAGAGGCTCACAACTGTCAGGACCTCCAGTTTGGGGGGAACCAATGCCTTCTTCTGGCCTCTTTACAGGCAAAACCACAAACATAAACAATGTAAGATAATAAATCTTTAAAATCTGTTCCTTTTCCTCACCCCTAATCCCAGATTTTATGATTTTTGCATCTGGGGATGCTGTTCTGGAGTATTAATTACACTCTGAGAAGTACTATATACTATTCTACTCAGTAGGAGGAGCAGATATAAGGTGTTCCTATGCGTGTTTGTAGTCAGAAGATAAAGAAGTTCCCCCCAAGTGCAGGGTGGTGGTGGTGCACGCCTTTAATCCCTGCATTCGGAGGTGGAAGCAGGTGGATCTCTGTGAGTTCAAGGCCACCCTGGTCTATAGAGTAAGTTCCAGGACAGCCAGAGCTGTTATACGGAGAAACCATGTCTAAAAAATACTTTCCATATAATAGCTTCTATTTTTTTGGCCAAGAGTATGTAAGTATAAAAACAGGTATATAAGTGGAATATGTGGTGGTAATAAATTATACAGAATCTGTTTCATGTAATCCCATCTGAAAGTTTGATACTAGAGAACATAGAGCCTCTCCAATGTTTTCAGAGTTGATCACTATTTTCACTTTACAAAAGTCAGTGCCAAGAATGTTGCTTCACAGAAATAGGTCATACAAAAATGGCAGAAGTATGATTAGGGTGGTTTCAGAAGTTGTTGGAAATTTTGACCTAGTCTCAAGTCAAAATTAATTGAACATTTTTGATTCTGGAGACAGGGTTTCTCTATGTAGTCCTGACTACTTTGGAGCTTCTAGAGATCCTCCCTGTCTCCCTGGGATTAGAAGTCTGTGCCACCATGTTGAGCTCGTTTAGCATTTGTCTACGTGTTGTGAAATTCGAGTCAGCAACTCAAAAGGCAATCACACCACACCCAGCTAGTCCATACATTTTCATTTATTTATTTATTTAATTTATTTTTTGGATTTTCGAGACAGGGTTTCTCCATAGCTTTTGGTTCCTGTCCTGGCACTAGCTCTTGTAGACCAGGCTGGCCTCGAACTCACAGAGATCCGCCTGCCTCTTCCTCCTAAGTGCTGGGATTAAAGGCGTGCGCCACCACTGCCCAGCTGTCCATACATTCTTTATTCTGTTAATCCAATTCATTTTCTTCACAGAAAATCTCCACTACCTTCTATTTATTTTCTATTAATCATCCCCCAACTAGACTACAAGCTTCATTAGGGAAAAAAAATCAAGTCTGTTTTATGTAGTGATATTTCCTTTGTATTTTAACAAATAAAGCTTGCCTGAAGATCAGAGAGAACTGCCTCACTGGTCAGCCTTACAGACCAGGCAGTGGTGGTGCACGCCTTTAATCCCAGCCCTAGAGAGGAATATAAGACAGGAGGAGACAGCTCTCAAACAATATTCATTCTGAGATTCCTGGAGACAGGATTGCCAAATTACAGATCAATCTCACTCATGAACATTGATGCAAAAATACTAAATAAAATACTAGCAAATTGAATCCAAGAACATATCAGAACCATCATCCACCATGATCAAGTTGACTTCATCCCACAGATGCAGGGATGGTTCAACATATGAAAATCTGTCAACATAATCCACCATATGAACAAGCTGAAAAATAAAAACCACATGATCATCTCATTAGATGCTGAAAAAGCATTTGACAAAATACAACATCCCTTCATGATAAAGGTCTTGGAGAGAGTAGGGATACAAGGAACATATCTAGTCATAATAAAGGCAATATACAGCAAGCCAACAGCCAACATCAAACTATACGGAGAGAAACTCCCAGAGATTCCACTGAAATCAGGAACAAGACAAGGTTGTCCACTCTCTCCATATCTATTCAATATAGTTCTTGAGGTCTTTTTTTTTTTTTTTTT